CATATAACCGTATCTTCTTCATCCAAAACATCCTTATTTGTTCTTTCTTTTGAATACAGAAGCAATTCTCTTACTTTAACCTTTTCCGCACTGACCGTAAAAGCAGAAAATTCACTGTCACCACTCTCAGTTTCAATAAACAGAGAAGATGGCCATACATTATACCAGCTATTTACTAAAATTGTTTGGGAAACAGAATTCCGTGATTCTGCTATCAAATAGATGCAGTCTTCGATAGTGAAATTTTTTCTATAGTCACAAAATAGAGCAGTCTCTTGAAAGGATTTTTTCCCTCAAATTTGTAGTGGCATTCAGTATTGTGTATTATGCCCTGGTCCATGTCTGGATCAATGACATAGTATTTGGGGGCAAAAAAAGGACCATGATATTATTACACACATTAAAATAGTTGCAGCTGGATGTGCAAAACAGTTGTTTAACAATAATAAAATCTTGCAATTTGATGGCAAACCCCACATTGTTACTTTTATTATGATGTCAATGATTTGGTAAGTATTTCTCTCTTCTTTCATATTTTGTTTTCCATATTGTGGTTTCCTAAACCTATAAACTGAATTTAGCTTAAAGTAACATGCCAAACAAAGATAAATTCAGAAGTCAAACAACAAAAATTTAGTGTTATATTTGCAAATTTTCTAAGACTAGTTTCGGTGGTTTTACTGAATCATCAGCCTCAGCTGCCAAAGTGCAAATGAGCGAGATAAGAAAAAAATGGCTAGACAGAAGTTAAGCTACTGGTGCGATCTATTGATGAAACCAGAATGTGGTTAACCATCATGAAAACACACTTGTATTTAAATTCCAAAACCCTCTTTTACCGTCTTCTAATTTAAGTTGTTTAAAAAATCTTCCCATTGTAAATATTAAGCCAACAGTTAATATTTCTAGTGTTAGTTTATCAGAAGAACAAGAGAGAATTCTGAAATATAATTTTAAGTTCTCACAAACCTCAAAACCCTCAATTCCAAAGATTTTGGCTCCTATCAAAAAAGTTTTCAAATTCAGTAAAGTTTCAGACACACAGAAAGAAATTATTAGGCATCTTATTGCCCATAATGTGAAATTAAACAGTAAGCCTTTAAAACCAAATCCAAACGTGAGAGAAAGAGCTACAATGCATGAAGTTCATTCTAACCCAGACATTATTATTTTAAAGGCCGACAAAGGTGGCCAGATAGTCGTCATGGACAAGAATACTTACATAGATTTTGTCACTACATTTGAATAATCTTTTGACTCTAATATTTTTTGTTTATATTTTTTTCTAACTGCAGCTTCCGAGTAATATTGCACGAGCTTCTAGCAGATGTAATCGTTTTCTTTATAAGTTTTTTTTTTTTAATTCATTATTTATTCATATTATTATTATCTATGTTTTGTAACTTTCAGAGAATGGCAATATTCTATGTTCTTCTTTTTTAGAGAGTTAGTGTAACTTTTGTTTTCCTCATTTGAAAGTATGAGTAAATGGATTATTTAATTATTGTAGAGTCATAAGTAACTAAAGAGATATAGATAGTTATTTCCGAGTAATAAATAGTTCTTGAGGTAACACATTTGGTGAGAATTTTTGAACAACATTTTTAAACGAAGGACCATATAATCCGATCCCTGAATACCCTTCACTTTCGGACATAAAAACTGCAAATAAATCTTCACAAATCCTTTCGACCAACTTAAAACAAACTTTAAACTTCGCTTATCCCATCTGTTGCGAATTGTGCCAGATTATAAGCTCTTCCCAAAATTCATAAGAGTGATATTCCTTTCCACATTAATGTATCAAATTTAGGCACTGCCTCATACCCGTTAGCTAAATATTTAATTTCTACATTTTCAACTCTATTAGATAATAATATTTACACTATGAAAAATTCAATAAAGTTTGTAAAAAAAGTTAAAAGTATTTCTCCTAGAAATTTACTCATGGTTCCTTCTGATGTAAAATCATTATTCACCAATGTTCCAGCGGAGGGTGCATTAAGATGTCTAGAAACCAGACTTTGCGAATTTCAGTCCTCCTGCATCGAAATTGATGAACTAATTTCCCTTACTCTGTTTGAAACAGACACATTTCCTTTTTCCATAGAAAGTATTACAAACAAACTGATGGATTAGCCATGGGAAGCCCTCTTTGTCCCATCCTGGCTGATATCTGCATGCATTATTACGAATAAAAATTATTTAAAACATTAAACTTCCCAGTATGGTTCCACTATGTAGATGATACTTTTACCTCAATAATATGATTAAAATAAATATGATTTAAATGAAGTTCTTTTAATAATGAATTTCGTTGATCCTGCTATTCAGTTCACTTTTGAACATGAGACACGTAATTCTCTTCTGTTTCCCAACATTTTAGTTACACGTAACACATCCAACTTCAGTACTATGGTTTACTGTAAACCTTAATTGGCCTGTCTTCCACCACACTTCAAATCATGTCACCCGACTAAATGAAAATTAACTTCATTTTATTCCTTTGTTTTTTGTGCACTTCAAGTTTGCTCCTCCAAATTGATTCTTGACCAAGAACTAAATTATTTAAAAGCAGTTGCTATTGACAGGGTTTTTCCCCCAAACACTATTAACCAAGCAGTTAAAAAAATCTCATCTCAACACACCAAAAGGCACACTCTTGTTTTAGGAGAAATTTAACTTTCAGGTCGTTTATTCTCCTATCAATAAAATTCCCAGTTCAGTACTTAAGGATCCCATTCCGAATATGAATTCCTGAGGTATTTAAAGGATTCCTAGCCAATGTGGTTTAATTTACATTGGTCAAACTAAGAGAACCTCAAAATTTCGTGTTAAAGAACATGAGGCATATGTTAGGAAAAAGGAAACACAGAAGTCCCCTGTTGCCTCTATTTGTACCATATTGGTTTGGCACTTTCCATTTTTTGCAGCCAATATTATTCAAAAAACATCTTCCATTGGTGAATTAGATTTTTTAGAGGCGTTTCACATTGAAAACAATCTTTCTGTTCTAGTTAACGATCCTAATTCCAATCGATCTTAATCGACTTTAAGGAAATTATGTTTTAGTTTTCTTGTTTCATCAATGGATGCCACCAGTAGCTTAATTCCTGTCCAGCCATTCTTATCTTATCTTACCACCATATCTTATTTCGCACATTTGCACTTTGGCAGCTGAGTTTGATGGTTCGGTAAAACGATCAAAATTAGCCATGAGAAATTTACGAATATAGCGCTGAATTTTGTTGTTTGACTTCTAAATTAATCTATAAACTGAATGCTTACATTTTGCGAGTTTGCGTGGATTTTTGGTATTATCTCATAATTTACTACACTGATTATTTTCAATTAATTCTAATAAAACGTAAAGGGAGGAGACTTCCCCCCCCCCAAAAAAAAATACTACCACCTATATTATTAAGCAACAGAATCCATTTGGTATAAAAAATATACGTCAATAATTTCCATAAAAAGTTTTTTCTTATTAAAAATCCTGCGACTGCCTTCTTAACATTTTAGCAATTAAAAAAAAAAAGAAAATTCTCTTTTTACATACAAAATAATCAGTACAAAGATATGAAAAATAATTTAAATTTTCTTACATATTGCAAGCATAAATTTCACTACACAAACACAAGAATTTACACATAAAAATATCGGGTTTTAACGAAAGTTTCCCGCCACCAACAACCGTAAATATTGTCTGTTTGTCTGTGCAAACAGCTCACGTTGGTGTGTTTAACCATATTTTGTCAAACGATTTTTGGCATTTGAAAGAAAGAGACTTGTTTTAGATAACAGTGTTGTGAAATTTGTAAAAAAATATTGTTACCATTAAGTACAAGGTGTCTGAAACAGAACTATCAAGAGCTACTAGGGAGTAGTGCCATCATTTATTTCCAGTTCTGTTTCCAAAAGTCAGCTACAGAAATGTCACCAAATCATATGCACAGCTTTAGGTACTAATGTTGTATCATATGACACTATGAAAGTTTGGTACCAAAAGTTCAAAAACAAGGCATATGACACTCAAGAAGGAGAGTGCTCTGGTGGGCCTACTGATGTTGATGAGGCCTGCCTGTGAGAACTTGTGAAAGATCAGTATGCAGCCACTCAAGAGCTTGCTAAGGAGTTAAGACATTAGTGCCATGTCCATTAGTTGCCCTATGCATCACATATACTTGACGTACAAGTTCAATAGCTGGGTACCGCATGAACTGACTCAAGCAGACAAGGACAAATGTATTCGAGCCTGCACTAATCTGCTCAAATATTAATGCAAAGACAAAATTATGGATCGGATCATCACTTGTGATGAAAAATGGATTTACTTCAACAATGCAGGCCGAAAATGGGGTTGGTTTGCACTTGGTGAGTCTGTTGGCAGCATCATAAAGTACAATTTGACTAACAAAAAGATCACCCTTTACCTGTATCTGGTGGGATTGCCATTATATTATCCACAAAGACTATCTTGAAAAAGGTAATACCCTCGACAGTAAGGTGTACAGTAAGATGCTAGTCCGTGTTGATGCTGCTATCAAGGAAAAACATCGAACTGAGTTCCAGCACAAAAAAGTAATGTTCTATCAAGATAATGCAAGACCACATGTGTCTGCATTCCCTGACGGGACTCTGTTCGATTCGATTGCGATCTTTTACCACACCATATAGCCCTGACATTGCTCCTTCAGACTTCTACCTTTTCTCACACCTGTGGGTACATCTTACTGGTACTATCATCCGTTCTGCACAGGATGTCCAAATTGAGGTTGATCTTGTGGCCACCAAGTTTCTGGGCCGAAAGCTTTGAATAACTACGAAGCACTGGCAGAAAATCATAGATTTGGGTGTGATTACTACCCGCACTAAAGGTACTGCTTTCATGCTTATTTTTTTCCTAACTTTATTAAGAACGTTTTTTGGCAGAAAACTTTCATTAGAACCAGACATTAATAATACAAATTTCAATGTGTTATAAGAAAAATATTTCATACCTATGACAAATGTTATCCAAGATCTGCTTGTTGAAAGCATTTTTGTCCTGGAATAAATTATTTAATGCATGAAGTGCACAGAGTTCCTTTACTTGTTTCTCATGGTAAATATTGTGTTCATCTTTGGAACTATTTTTTGAAATAGTTTTTCTATCACGACCAAACCAGTTCTCCACAAAATGCAAACAGGAGTTGTGCATGGATGAAAATGTTAATTCTAAACACTGAAGGATAAAATTAAACATATTAAAAGCATCAAATAATCTTATTAATTAGACTATTATATTTATATATGTTAAACAATATGTTTTTAATAGTCTTTTTATGGACACTTGTTATCAAGGGAGAATATTCGTGCAGCATTTTAATAAAATATGCAAGCACTTCATATTATTAGTATTAACAGAATAAGATATTTAGAAATTAAATATTATCTTAATTCATACTTTTAAAGTACGGCTATTGTAGTATACAATTTAAGTGCTTTTTAAGAAATAGTAACCAAAGTTTTCAATACATTATAATTCTAATTCAATTGTTTTTCAAGGAATGAGAATCAAAATTCTGAACTTATTATAACTCTAAAACACAGTGGCTGATCCTGCTAGTAACTGCAACTGCTATTCTATTTAGATATGTGACCACTATTTAGACTTTACATTTGCACAGGCACTTAATATTTATTTTTGTTTTTGTTTTTAAATCCCATATTAAGGTTTCATTTATTGGTTAATTTTAACTTGCTCCTACAAACTCAACTGGGAAATGTATAATTTTAAACAAAAATTCATATATAAACTGCTGGCCATTTAAAATGCAACACCATGAAGGAAATATCCAAACAGCATCATGTACAGTCAAAAGTCGTTAATTCGGACACCCATAATTCGGAACCCAAAGCTACAAACTATCTGAGCATGCATCGCATTGACTCTGCGCTAAGACCTTTATGGCGCACTATCGTGTCGCATGATACGTTTCGCGGTGCGTAATATATAACAGATGTATAAGTTAAAATTTCTCATTATCTCTTTCAGTTAAGGTTGCAGATTGCGTGTCCTTAATCTCGATGGATCCGTTTTTTATTTTTGAACTGTTAGAGCATTTTATAAAAGTAAGCTTGACTTGCGATTAGGCAATAGATTCTGATGTGACCTCCCAAGGATCTCAGAGAAGTATTTCGATGTCCATCAAACAAAAGAATTTACAATGGAAACATTGATATCTACCCTTTGGAAACTGTTTAAAATTTCACCCTCTCGTGTATGGTGTGGGGGTGGGGGGACGCCACGCACCATGATTGGAATTTGATCGTCAGCCCTACCTTATCTTCGGCAGATTTTTTTATTTATTTGGCTTATCATTCCTCACGAATGCGGTATTCACCTCATGTATCCGTCTTGATTATTTAATCAAATTCCTCGTCTTAAATCGCTTCCGATAACGAAGAAAGTGACAGAGGTTATGAAACGAAAACTTTCGATTGCAAAATAGTCGGTTTCTCAAAAGCAGTAGGACTTTACAGCGGAACTTTTAACTGAACAGAAATTATGTCTGTTTATAGAATTAAGAGAATGTATTATCACAAAAAATGAAGCAACTAAACAACTTACATTGAAAGAAATGTTTAATAAGTAAACAAATAAATATTAAGTTTTTTTTTTTTTTTTTTTTTTTTTTTTGTAAATTTTATACCCTTTAAATCATAATTGTTCTTTATTTCATAAATTATGTTCATATTTTAATTTTATAAGTTCGGAGGCCATCTTGCCAGATTTAACTGATGATCTAAATCTCTGGAAAATCAATAAGAAATTGCCGAGTCCGACGAGTCCGGATTAATGACTTTTGACTGTATATTGTAATGGAATATGCAAATGATTCCAATTTCAGAGCACATCATAGATGACTGTAGGGCCCCTTATAATCCATATATAAAGGGAACAAAAACTGCCATTTTGAATAATGTGCTTTGTGTGTGCAGCTTCAGTATATCTCGTAGAAAATAAACATTATTCAAGCATGTTTCTGAGTTCAACTGATGTAGAATCATTGAATACAGAGATTGCGGATTATCCTTCCAAGAAATTAGTCATCATGTCAGACATACCAAAGCAGCAGCCATGCAAATGTGGAATCAGTGGATGCAGGAGGAAATGATTGGTGGACAAGAGCAATTGCAACCACCTTCTCGCACCACTCCCTCAGAAGACAGGCATATGGTGCACATAGCATGGATGCAGTGCACTGCCACATCCATAGCACAACAAATGCAGTATATAACAAAATAACTGGTGTCTGCACTAACAATTCAATATCCTTTACAGTACAATGGACTATCTGCTAGGCATCCATTGCTTCCCCTTACCTTTAAACCCTAGCTGCTTACATTTGCAATGGCGCACTTAACAACAGAGATAGACATACGTAGCGTATTCGGAAACTAAGTACCGTTTCATTCTAGCGCCGTCGCCGCGCCGTGGTAGGCGTCCCGCGCATGCGCACTAGTCTTTCTTGTTCACTGACTTTCAATTGTCCATTTTGGTTGCTCTATGTTGTGTTTTCAGTTTGCTGTGCACATTCAAAATGTTTAAGACAATAGTTCTCCCGCTGACTGTGAGATTCGTGCCGTGATTAAATTTTGAACGCGAGGAATGTTACAACCGGCCGAAATTATCGTCAAGTGAACAGGTTTACGTGGAATACGCGATAAGTGATGAAATGGTGAGAAAGTGGGTAAGAATGTTTAATGCAGGTCGAACAAATGTCCACCACGCCGAGGCTCGGAGTGGGTGGCCTTCTGTTGTCCCGATGATTGGTAAGGAAAGTTGATGAAGCAATTCATGAGAACAGACGCTTCACAATGACAACTCTTTCAGAGGCATTTCCACAAATTTCACGTTACTGTTTTGTTCGAAATTGTGTCTGACCCGCTCGAATTATCGCAAACTGTGTTTCCGATGGGTTCCAAAAATGCTCACTGATGTTCACAAAACAAAGCGACTTGGTAGTGCCCTGACATTTCTCACGCGGTACAGTGATGAGGGAGAAAACTTTTTAAACTAAATTGTGACAGGTGATGAAAACTGGGGTGTGTCATTTCACACCAGAATCGAAACAACAATCGATGGAGTGGAGACAACTCATTCACCGAAAAGGTGGAGTCGTGGTTATCGAAACTGGCGGGAAGTTTCTTGACGATGGTATACAAAACTGGTCACCCGCTTGACAAGTGTTGATCATTGGCGGAAACTATGTTGAAAAATAGTTTAAGACATGTATTTTCATGTAAAAATAAAATTGGATTCGAAAAAATTGTTTTACTATTTTTTTTTTTCAAAACGGTACTTAGTTTCCGAATACGCCTCGTACAAATGGCTTGACGTGTTTTTGGATGATTCATACTTCTGCCTGCAGTACCACAATGGTTAGATTAGAGACATAGTAGAGAGAGGCTGCTTGACTGTTGTGTTATGCAAAGTCATACTGGTTCTGACACTGCATAATCGCAGTCATACTGATCGGTGTTATGGTGTGAGGTAGTGTTGGATTCCATTCCTGTAACCCCTAGTATACATTATTAATACACTTACCAGCCAACATTATCTCAGAAGTTCGGCAGCTTGTTCTTCCTTACCTTCAAGGCTTGCCTGCAGCCACAATTTCAACAGGACAATGGACAGCCACATGTTGCACGCAATGCATGTCCAAGCTATCTTCTTAGCCCACCAAATTACATTGTTAACCAGGCCTGCCTGTTTGCCAGATCTATTGCCCATCGAACATATCTGGACAGTAACTGGAGAATGCCTTGCCTGGCATTCGACAACCGTGGGTACACCAGATGAACTTTGGCAATGTGTGGAGGCAGCATGGGCCATTCCCTAACAATACATCTAAAGCCTCTTTCACTCAATAAGCTAGCATAGAGCAAAAGTTATTAAAAAACATGAAGGCAACACTCATTACTGATCTTCTTGTCTTCCTCATCTAAAAGAAGGCTCTATTTCAAATCAATTAACATTGACACTATATGTAATCTCTGAAGTAAATTTGGCTTTGGATATTTCTTCTTCTTTGTCTTGCATTTTGAATGGCCAGCAGTGTATATATACATACAAAGTCAAAATTTGAGCATCCAACATCTAGACCAATAGCGAAAAAAGAATCGAGTGTCCAAGAATGGAAAACATAATACTCAAGAAAACAAAGGTACGCAATAAAAGCAAATTTTCTTCTGATTAACTGAGATTCATTTACATCACTTTAAAACACCTACTAGGTGCTAGGGAATCACACTGTGGCTTAACATTGATTGAAGTTGCCCAGAAGTGGGGTAGCATTTTGCTATTTGATCTACGTAATAAGAGAAATCTCAAGACATACTTATTTGGAGTAGGATGTTCCTTACAAATGGATTTCTTTTGTTGGCACAACAACAGGGAAGATAGATAGCATTAGATTGCAAGGAACTTAAGTTCAGTTAAGATAGCAAGTTGTTCTTTCTTAATTTTCTGATTTGAAGCAGCTTATTAATTTGTTTCAGCTATTACTATTAATCATATTCATATCAAATAATGTTTAATAAATGATAAAGTCTTCCTTTAACTGTACATTCAGGCATCAACTAGCGAATATTGGAATTTTGCACACACTGAAATGCAGAGAAATTGTTGCAGCAACAAGACCATCATTAGAATTTTGGAAACATTTTAAAATAAAATCTGATACATGCAGGACATTGCAAGATCTGAGAGGACGTGTCAGCAAATAGTTTTAAAAATGCTCAGTAGTAATAACTGAAGTCTTACATTATGATTACAATCCCTTGATCATCAATTAGTTAACAGAAAGGCAAGTAGTATAGTTTTAAATCAACAAAATATTGCCATTTTGGCATTTTGCATTCATTTAATGATTCATGTTTTAATTTCACAATTCATAAATTTTTTTTTAGCCCAAAGGGGCAATTTGTGTAGAAAGACTAATTTCGTTTCGGCATTTTGTGTCGATTCACAAAGCATCGTCACTAAGTGTTGTTTCACTTTTCAAATTATCGTCCTGTGTTATATTTTAGGAAATTAAATAATGAAGAATCTGCATGAATGTAGGTATGTTTCTCGCGTTGTGATAAAACAACAGTACCTACGGCCATCAAAATTTGAAAACGTAATCTTCCATAGAATATGGGCACGGGCAAGCTCTAATTTGAATTTGTAATTTGTTTTATTATCGATTTCAGATTTTAAACAAACTTGATTAACAAACTAAACTAAGTTTGATTAACAAACTAAACGATTTCAAAGCGAGCAATGGCAATACTGTACGGGGAGGGAGGGGAAACATTTTTATCTCCAGCGCCCGATACTCTGTATTGGAAATTCTAAAGATATGCTCATTTTAAAATTACTTTGCGATATTACTGTTGAACTGAATTTTATGGTTTGAGTCCATAGAACATGATATTCAATAAATAAAGGTAAGACACAAAACATTAAAAAAACACCCCTTTGGACATAATTAAAAATCTGAAACCTTTCAGATTTTATTTATTAATATTTTTAAAAATGGAAAACACTTTTTTTAGATACTAGATATTGATCTAGATATTAGTGACTTCAGTTGCTAACTTACATGTTAAAGATTTCAGTTGTTCTATTTCAATGCTAAATATTACACACTACACATGGGGAATGAGACACATCAGATACATGATCTTAATTCCTTACAACTCTGACATACTTAAAAACGCAAACGGGGAGAAAGGTGTGATTAAATCAACAAAATCAGAGTGGTCACAAATTATCATCCCTTACAATTTAGTTCATGGCCACAAGTGTACAGAAAAGTTCTCCCTTTTACTAGAAATCAAATGACAGAACTTTCAACTGCTAGCTGGATATGTTCATCACAAGGGCATGCATGAAAAGAATGCCTAACTCCTCACATGTTAAGAATGAGTGGAAATAGGAAGTCAGACTCAACTGATCAAATTCACGTGGTCATAAGTTATACATCATATTTGAGTTTGCCACTATCCAGATTATTAAGCTTTTCCAAAGTGGAAAATGTGAAAAATGAATTTCCCATTCAGAGGTGCAGCTAGCGTTTTCTTGGCCTGTTTGCCAAAATACAATGGGGAATATCAATCTGGTGGCTCCTGGATGCTGCACCTGGAGGCAGATTCCCCCCTTGTCGCCCTAGTTATGACACTGTTTCCCATTGCTAGCTGGATACCCTAACCTCTATACCACACGATAGGTATATTTTCAATCCCCTACAATAATTTTTTAAGATAATTACTACAATCAGTGATAATTTTTCTCTTAATCTATGATATTTCTTTGCAAAAGCTGAACCATGTTATACAGACAATAAATAAATTGGCTGATCTTTGGAATATGGTAACTGGTAGTTTTTGGCGACATTTTGGAGGCGATAAAGGTTACTACCTAGGACTTTGGTAATAATGTGAGAAGTACTTAGTTCCGATTACGCATTATTTTGTGTGAGGGAAATGAGAGATCATGAGATAAGTCATGTGACATTAATGGACGAATTAGAGTTCTTTAATCGGAAAAGGGGGAGAATTTGGAAAACTGTAGTACTATATTGTTTTGTATTAAACTTCATTGTGTGTTGTGTGAAATAGTGGAAGTGTGCATGCAACGTAATGAAGATTCTGAAGATTTGGTAAGTTAGTATTTTTAATCATTTGAGGATATTATTTTTATGCATTGTTCTAAAATGTAAGGAGTAAATAAATTAATATGATATTATTGGAAAATTGTTATTAGCAATGATTTAGTTTAAAGTAATTAGGATTGTAATCTAATTTTTATTAATTTAATGTATGAGCTTATTTATATTTTAAGTAGTGTTTTTTAATTTAATTATATTTTAATTTAATGATCATGATTTTGTAAGTTATATGTTTGTAGTATTTTGGAATACGTCTGAGTAGAATATGTTGAGTATTTTCATGCATTTTCATGAAATTTTTCTAATTTATGAGAAAAAAGCAGTGTACATTGATATAGTGAAGAGTGTGCGCAATGCCATTTTTGTGCAATTCTGGGATGTTTTTTTAAGTAAAAATAAGTCGACGTGTACATGGTTTAGTGATATTTTAATTAAATGATAGTTATTTTGTGAATTTTACGTTTGTAGGAATTTGGTATACGTTTCAGTTGAAGTAAACGTGCATGGAAATAATTTAAATATTTGACACTAAGTATTTGTAACCATTTGTAATGTTTGCGGTATGAATTCGTTGGTGACGTTTATAATATAATAGATAATGTAGAGGTAAACGTTTTTGGATATTTTATTTATTTTATACGTGGAAATGTTCATCCTTGGGAAGGGTATATACTTTTTCGCGATCAGGTAATTTCATATATGTGCTTTTTACCGAGTTTAAAGATTCACAGAATTTTTTTGCATTTTCGTACAAATTTTTGTAATTTATGAGAAAATAGCAGTGTAGATGGATAAAGTTAAGAGTGTGTGCAATGCAATTTTTGTGCAATTCTGGGATGTTTTTTTAAAAATAAAAAATAAATGTAAAAATAAGTCGACGTGTAAATGGTTTATGTGTATGTGCTATTCTGAAAAATGCGCAAGGAGTTTGCTATTGTGCACTTTTTCCCAATTTTGCAGTTAATATTTGTCATGATTAAGCAGTTTTGTTACATAAAATTTCTAGCATAAGTGTAATTCGGCTAGTAGATTGTTGGAAAAAGTGTTCAGTAAATAAAAAGAAAAGAAACATGTCTTTACTTCGTGAAGACAAAATGGTGGCGAAAAAAAAAATAGGGGGTTGCTGTAGCAGAGTTGGTTGCCAAATTTTTGCCAAAAAATCATCAAGTTACCATAATCCAAAGATCAACCAACGAATTATATGGCTATTGAAAATGTAAGCTTCACTTTTCTTTGCTAATTATTTAGTCACTCTTACAATCAACCGTTCCAATAAATTTTTTTCTTTAAACATTAAGCACATAGTTGTAAGAAGAAAGTATAGAGATCTATTGGCAAGCTACTAGTATACCGGAATTCAAGGAAAGTCCTCAGTGGCAATTAATATGCCACATGGTTTCAAGAATTGCATGTAAAAGAAAAACAAAAGCATACCTTAAGTTCAGAGAATGACAGTAGGTTAGGTTAGATTATCTGATACATCAAAGCATACATGGGCTATCTTCTCAAGAGAAGGCTTGCCTTTGTAAATAGCTTTCTACGAAAAAATGGCTTGTATTCATGTTATGGGGAAAGATACAGAAACACCCACCTCGTCAACCTAGTCATGAGGCTCAAATCTAGGTCAAACTACAATGTTTAGTGATCTTAAATACTTGGCTATGGTTGGGTATGAGTGACAGAACGCACAAATAGAGCAAACCTAAATTTGGTAGTGTTCTATCACAGGAACCAGATTCAGAAATGTATGTATGTATGCACGTGTGTATGTATGTGCATATATGTGTATATGTATACAAACACATACATTTGTGCTTACATATATGCAAGCATACATGAACACATACACCCATGCATGCATACATACATTTCTGGATCTGCATATGATAACAGAACAGTACCCTAAATTTTATATTACATCATACAGAGAAAAGTATTACTACACAATATTCTTTCATTATTTTTTTTAATAATTACTTATAGAATAAGCATACAAATTTAGTTTCCTTTTCTTTCTATTGCATAAGGCGTACAGACAAAAAAATGTAAAGCCACTGCCATCGACAGACCAAAACAGTTGACAATAGACAAAATCTAAATAAAATTTTACTAAGTGGAACAAAGTTGTGTAGTCTTTACGGAGAATGTGCAGATTTTTTAAAAACCTTTTCTACAACACGCTTAAAAAAAAAAAATTATAAGGATTATTTTCTTGAACAATTATTGTTCTTTGTTATATTCAAACAACATCAGTAATATTTACATGTCAATATAATATAGCAGATAAATAATGCCTAACTATTAAAAAATATAACAACATAAAAAGTTAATGAATAAATGAAAAGATTTAAATCGTTGTTAATATAAAAGATATTGCAATGAATATTGAAATGTGAATACAAATGCAGAATTTAAAAGAATACCTCGATAAATATTCTTGCAACTATTATTAAAAATGTCGTTAAAATATTAGCCATAAGCATACATTTTCATACGTCAAATGTAATAAAATCTCAAGTTTTCAGATTCTTTTACACCTTCGGTTAATATACTATGAAGATTAACTAGCAATTATTTGCAGAAAAATGCACTTGTTTTCGATGACATTAATATAGTGGCCAACACTCGACTGATTCTTTTAGTGTAGAAAGTCAGTTTCATATTATAAATAAAGAAACCAAACGTTTCAGCTCCCAGACGCTCTGAAACGATCAAAGCTTTTACGTAAGTGTCAAAAATGTATATATTATATGAAGAAAATCATTACATTTTTAATATCACAATAACATTTAAAGTAAACTGGAACTCTAGAAGTATCATCTGCAGTGCTAATTAATATTGCTTACAACACGACAATATTGTTTTTTGTTTACGCATATGAATTGTTTATCATTTTATCCTCTATCATATAAACACAGAGAGTTGAGTAGAACAGTACTTGAGAAAATAATAAAAAATAATTTTTCTAAAATCTAAAAGTAATTCATTTATAGCGAATAATTTAGTATTTTCATTCATAAAATATAAATACTCAATTACATAATCAACAAGTATAATTTAATGATCAAGTTTAAATTTTGTAGATCGTGATATCACATGTGACATAATGCCTCCCCTCCTCCCCTCTTCAAACCGTATCGAAACCTCAGTAAAACTCCAAGCATTCTGCTCGGTTGTCGCGAGTGTTAGGTTGTAATTAATATTCCTGGTAATTTAATGTTTTCACGTAATTTAAGCGTTAATTAGTATTTCTGTTATGGCGACTGCTGAAATTCAGAATGATGACGACAATCTGGAAAATCTCCTAGGTTAGTGCTTAAAATTATTTTTGAGAAAAATGAAATTTTAAAATTTGTCAGTTAGGTATGTGATAATATTTTTAACTGGAGCGATCTCAAAACATTTCTCTTCTCTGAAAAAAGTGTTTAAGGAATTATTTTACTGTGTATTAAATATTATCACTCACATGCCTATTAAGCAATCACAATAGTAGTTAGTGATTGTATTATTTGGAGCATTTTTATATGTGCCCACACATATTGATAAGATCATGGGAGGAAAACTTTTTCATATATATTTGTCTTTACATATCTAGTTTTATAATATGCAGCACATTTGATGTGTAAAGGCTTTAGTTCTGTTAGTAATCATTCAATGTAATCTAATCTAGAAAGAACTAAGTGAATAAAATGCGTACGTAACAACCGAGGTAATAATGAATGTAGTACTTTTTAGAAATTGAAAAATAATCTGAGATTTTCTGTGTTAGGTCTTGCTCTGTTTGGTATATGCACTCTGGTAGTAAGAATTGATAGTACTAAATTAATGGTTGTGGTATGTGAAGACATGTAAATTATTTAGTGCAGTAGCTTATTTTAGAACTGATATAGCAGTCTAAAAGATGGTTGGTTTAGCTAACTTGCTTCATTATGATATAATTAGTGATTTTTGCAGTTAATGGTTAATATTTGTGTTATCCACAAATCTTTGTTAACAACTTATCAAGAAATATTAAACCGAGAACTTGAAATTGTTAGTTAACAGCTTCAGATAAAGCTAAATTGTAGCTTGTAGCTATCTTTCAAGTTGAATATTTCTCTGAGAATAAGCTCATGTTAGATAAGCAAATAAGACTTTTCGAATGTTTAGTTGAAAACTAAAGAAGTGTAATAATATACAGCAGATATTGAGAAAATATGAAATATTATCTCAGTCAGTGCCATCAAGTCAAGATATAATGGATTATTATCAATTCACATGATATGTGTTGTAAAATTTAAAGCTAGGGTAAGTCATCAGCAAAGATTCCCAGTTACAGTAAATTAAATATCAGTTTCTTCTAATGGAAAAAATCTAGTTAGGAGACACTGACAGTTCAGATTAGCACTTAAATAACCTGGCACTCGAACACGTTGAGGCTTAGTGGTTTGTCATATGCAACATGAAACCCAGCAAGTGCTCATCAGAAAGACCTCTATGAAGCTATCGCCTTTCACAGGCAAATAGGCAGCAATTTTCTTTCATATTTTGCCTTTTGTCAATTTTCTTTCATATTTTGCCTTTTGTCAATTTTCTTTCATAACTTCATGCTTTTACTTATCTAAGTTTTTTGTTTTTATATCAGACTTTAAGTGTAAATCATATGCAAAAACTGTGTTTTTTTCGGTCAACTTAGGGTTTAAGTTTGAAATGTAAAAAAAAAAAAAAAAAAAAAAAAATAGATTAGTAAAATCGAGGAGTATTTGGCGAGGTACTCCTTGATTTTACTTATTAGACAATATATATCTTTTGTAGACATAGCAGCAAAGATGGAAGAAAGAATTAGACTTAGAACTTATACTCAGCTAGCATTGTAAATTGCACTCTTGCTTATCATTCTGCTTTGATGCAGCTTATTATGTGTTTTAGTCTGTTTATTATTCATTTCATCAAAATTAACGTTTTGGTATATGATAATGTCCCAGTTTTACTCTTCTTTGGAAACTGAACTCAGCCGATAAATATCAGAATTTTGCACGCACTGAAATGCAGATATATTGTAGTCTTTTAAAAATTGATGCATATGGTTCTAAGATCTCCTCTCTATACCTCATAGCAGTCGGGGAGCCTTTGTCAAATATATGCAAGGTGTGCAGACATCTAATATATTGTCATTATAGTTTCACAGTAATGATCATTTTCTTTGATGAGGGGGAGGTATACACTGGTGTGCAAAAATTAAGGACAAGATGGTTTTTTCAATATAACTTTGTACAAAAGCTTTCCAAATCAACACATTTAATACCGTAAGATCCCCAATACGTAAGGACATGAGTAATGTAAGCAACACTTACTGAAAGAGAAGTCAGAGGGATAAAAAGAAGCTTTTTTGAAAAAGTAGCATGGAGCGCAATGCGACTGAAGGCCGAAACATCCCTGTGATGGGTGTCCAGCAAGAAACATCGGTTGATCTTTACATTACGGTAACTGGTAGTTTGGCGACACTTTGGAGGCGATAAAGGTTACTACCTGGGACTTATAAGACCTGGTAATAATGTGAGCAGTACTGAGTTCCGATTACGCATTATTTTGTGTGGGGGAAATGAGAGATCATGGGATATGTCATGTGATATTAATGGACGAATTACGGTTGTTTAATCGGAAGAGATCATGGGATATGTCATGTGATATTAATGGATGAATTACGGTTCTTTAATCGGAAAAGGGGGGAATTTGGAGAAGTATCTGTGGATATATATTATTTTGTATTAAGCTTCATTGTGTGTTGTGTGAAATAGTGTTTGTGAATTTTTGGATCCCATGGCCGTAAGTAAAGTGAATTCGAAATGGGTATTTAGTGGTATTGAAAAGGATAGTAAGAAATGTTTTTTAAGGTTGTGTGAGAGAGAAATAAACATGTTTTATTATGTTATTTATTTTACCTGGTATCTTGCTTTGAAAGATAAGTATGATTTTAAAGATTCTGAAAGAGAATGAAGAAAAGTGTATCCGCCACGTAATGAAGATTCTGAAGGAGATTAGGTAAGTTTAGTATTTTTAATTATTTTTATGCATTGTTGGAAATGTAAGGTGGAAAGGAATTTGGTATTATTGGGGAAAATTGTTATTAGCAATGATTTAGTTTAAAGTAATTAGGATTGTAAGGTAATTTTATTAATTGAATGTATGTGCTCATGTATATTTTAGTGGTGTGTTTTGAATTTAATTATATTTTAATGAAATGATAGTTTATTTTGTGAATTTTATACTTGTAGGAATTTGGTGTATGTTTTAAGTTGAAATAAATGTGCATGGAACTAATTTAAATATTTGATAATAAATATTTTGTAATGCTTCATGTATGAATTCGTTGGTGACGTGTATAATGTAATAGATGATTTAGAGATAAAAGTTTTTGGATATTTTATTATTTTATATGTGGAAATGTTCATATTTGTAATGGTAATACTTTTTCGCGATCATGTAATTTCATATATGTTTCTTTTTACCGGGTTTAAAGATTGAGAAAATTGTCATGTATTTTCGTGAAATTTTTTTAATTTATGAGATAAAAGCAGTGTACATGGATATAGTGAAGAGTGTGTGCGCAATGCCATTTTTGTGCAATTCTGGGATGTTTTTTTTTAAGTAAAAATAAGTCGACGTGTACACGGTTCAGTTCATATATTTTAATGAAATGATAGTTTATTTTGTGAATTTTATGATTGTAGGAATTTGGTTTACGTTTAAGTTGAATAAACGTGCATGGAAATAATTTAAATATTTGATACTAAATATTTGTAATGCTTCATGTATGAATTCGTTTGGTGACGTGTATAATGTAATAGATGATTTAGAGGTAAAAGTTTTTGGATATTTTTATTTATTTTATATGTGGAAATGTTCATATATTTGTAAAGGGTAAATACTTTTTCGCGATCATGTAATTTCATATATGTTCTTTTTACCGGGTTTAAAGATTGAGAAAATTGTCATGTATTTTCGTGAAATTTTTTTAATTTATGAGATAAAAGCAGTGTACATGGATATAGTGAAGAGTGTGCGCAATGCCATTTTTGTGCAATTCCGGGATGTTTTTTTAAGTAAAAATAAGTCGACGTGTACACGGTTCAGTGACATTTTAATGAAATGATAGTTATTTTGTGAATTTTATGCTTGTAGGAATTTGGTTTACGTTTAAGTTGAAATAAACGTGCATGGAAATAATTTAAATATTTGATACTAAATATTTTGTAATGCTTTCATGTATGAATTCGTTTGGTGACGTGTATAATGTAATAGATGATTTAGAGGTAAAAGTTTTTGGATATTTTATTTATTTTATATGTGGAAATTTTCATATTTGTAAAGGGTAAATACTTTTTCGCGATCAGGTAATTTCATATATGTTCTTTTTACCGGGTTTTAAAGATTGAGAAAATTGTCATGTATTTTCGTGAAATTTTTTGTAATTTATGAAAAAAGCAGTGTACATGGTATATAGTGCAGAGTGTGCGCAATGCCATTTTTGTGCAATTCTGGGATGTTTTTTTAAGTAAAAAATAAGTCGCCGTGTACATGGTTTATGTGTATGTGTTATTTTGAAAAACGCGTAAAAGGTGTATGGTATTGTGCACTTTTTCCGAATTTTGCAGTGAATATTTGTCATGATTAAGCAGTTTTGTTTGATAAAATTTGTAGCATAAGTGTAATTCGGCTAGTAGATTGTTGGAAGAAGTGTTCAGTAGATAAGAAGAAAAGAAACATGTCTTTACTTCGTGAAGACAAAATGGCGGCGGGGAAAAAAAAAATAGAGGGTTGCTGTAGGGGAGTTGGTCGCCAAAAAATCGCCAAGTTACCATAATGTAAAGATCAACCGAAACATCCGGTCTTTAATAGGGGATATGATCTCCCCTGTCTGCTAGGCTGGTTTCACAGCATCTGCCCATGCTGAGAATGAGGGTGTCAATGAGTTGTTGAGGCATTGCTGCCCATTCGTCTTGCAGCGCCAATCGAAGCTCCGGAATCGTTACTGGTGGTAAGGTACGAGCTGCCAAGCGTCTGCCTAGAAAATCCCATACATGCTCGATGGGATTGAGATCCGGAGATCGTGCCAGCCAATCCATACGTTCAATATCCTCACTCTCTAAGAGCTGTTCGGCAGCTACTGTGCGATGACATGGTGCATTGTCGTCCATGAAAAGGAACTGCGGACCCATAGCGCCTCTAAAAAGACGCACATATGAAAGAAGAATCTCGTTACAATAACGGGTCCCGTTGACTGAACCTGCGTCAAAGATGTGAAGGTCTGTACGACTACCAAGCATGA